TTCCATGAGCTACAACAAAGTCACTCAACCACATCTAGCTAGGGAAGAAAGTATTCTGGGTGGTCATGTTCCCAGGTAAATTTGAAATTCTATTACGGGAGAGTTAAGAACATTTATGGCCAACTTGTAGTCTCTACCCCATTCTTGAGTTAAACTCATACAACCAGACAGAGGCAAAGCTAGGCAAACACGAGCCTCCCTTAAAAAAGGGCAAGGTGTTTGCCACACAGCAGACTTGCCTCAAGGGTAAGTTGCTTGGACGAGGGGAATGCATAAGGGGCTGAGACACATGTGCTTGCTTCTCTCAATCCCACACATTGGCCTCTCTCAGTGGCTGGGCAGCTTCCTTCCTAATTGATGTTTGGCTTTTCTGAGGGGCACTACAGTAAACTGTCACAAGGCAGGAAAACAGTACACAATGCAGCATCACAGTAACAAGGTTTTCTTAATTTTCCATCATCTAGCCTTTCTATGTCTTCATTGTCCATTAGATTAAGAAATTCTCCTGAATAGTCATAAGAGAGTTTTTCTTCTGGCAAAATGCCTTTGGCTGCAAAAAGTGACAACTTAGGTACCATTGAGTCAATCTGGACAGGAATCAGGAATAGGTTTGGCTCAAAAGAACGATTAAGGGATCTTCCAGTATTTCCTAAGTAGGTAGTGTCAACAACTGTTTGCATTACCTGCCCATTATAAACATGTTCCCTGATGGCTATTATGTAATTTGAGTCGTACATTGTAAGTGAATTCATCTCTGTACTTCAGAGAATCCTGAAATGTCACCTGCATATTCACAGACACATCTTCATTTTGGTATAAATTCCAAGGTACAAAGTCCTCAGCCTTTTTCGTCCATCTTGAACATCTTGAGGTGGAACAGCTGACCCCTTTGGAACCCTTAGTTCCCGCAGTGGTCACCACACTGGCAGAGGACATTGCATTCAAAAACAGGCGTGGCATGCTGTGGTTCTGATCCCATATCTCTAAAGCATGAATTAGCTTCATAATTTTCCTCGTGTTGGAGACAGGAGCAAGTTCCAGGAAGGCGGGGAATTTTGACACCAGTGCATCCAGGAGAGGTTATTTTAGCGGGATCAATGTCGGCTCCAGGTCCAAGTACATGATCAGGTGTGTACTGGAAAGGTGTAGTCCTGGCCCCCGGTGGCCACATGCTCACAGGCAAGTTTCCCAGGCCAGGCACGACATAAAGCGGCTCTGTCAGACCCTTAGGGTCCTCCTAAAGATGTAGAAATATTTATCCTGTTACCTATCACTGCATAAGCTCCTGCCCTCCAATACAAGGGCTTAGAACAACAAGTATTTTAATGTCCTGTCTTATAGTGCTGGGTGTTGGGGGGCTCAGCTAGGTGCTTACTGCATAGCATTTCTTAAATGGTTACAGTCATAAGACGGCTGGGGTTGTAATTATCTAAAGGTAATTCACTCACATGTGTGGTGATTACAGTCAAAAATTTGCTAGAGGGAACATCTTGTTCATTCATTTTCTCAAGTGCAAGTATACTAGGATGACAGATCCCCCTCTGTAGAATTTCAGGGTGAAATTGAATATTTAAATTTTGTTGAAAGGGTTATTCTTCATTATACACAAAACACAGTTTTCTTGGATTGTAACATCTGGCCAATCTTCGGTGAGAAAATGGTTTATTGACTTAATGTCCAATTCCCTAGTATCAGTGACTTTTCTCATTTTTTATATGTGGTTGGCCATTTTGTGCTTTTGTGAATTGCCTTCATATCCTTCTCTACTTTCGTATTGGTCTGTTTGTCTTCTTGGCTGGTGATACAGCAGTTCTCACTATAAAAAGGATACTAATTCTTTGCTCTATGTGTTCCATGATAGGCTTGATGAAAATTAATTCAGGCTTATAGGCATGTTTTAACAATATTATCTACTATGGCACTAAATTCTTTCTAATTTTTTAAATGTGTTCATGATCTATAAGAATTGTATGGAAAATTCTGCTGTAAACCCTTCCTATAATTTCCTTAGCATCACAGCATTAATTTACTTGTAGAATAAATTAATTCCATGGGTCAGAGGATGTTTATTGTAAGGCTGGATGATGATCTTCTTAGCAATAAAGACCGGTCTTTGTCAAACCAAACTACTTTCACCATGGAGTACTTCCCTGATATTTAGCCTTGAAGAGGGTCTTGAGAATCCTTGTGGATTCATTTATAACTTTCCGTAATATTATGGAATTTTCATATTCTTTTCATTGTTACTGATTTTGGTCTGTCACAGTGTGTCTACATTTAAGAGACAATGATGATTATACTACTTTTGAACATGCTAAAGGATTTATCATTTCTGTGTTAGGGTTTTGGGAAGGATGGGAAAGCAGGCTTCTGAGGAAAGAAAAAA